CTATATATATAAAAAAAAATTATGAAGAGAAATCCTTTAATAAGATAATAATCTATTTTTATTATGTATATATTTCAATATATTATATTGTGTAGATAAAAGTTGTTGACATTTTATAGATAAGTTACAAATCTATATTAGTTTGTGACAAATGAAAGAAAAAATATTTGGAACTAACAATTATATTTGATTATAATTTGAAAATAGATATACACTGTATTACATCATATCTAATTTTAGAGAACTATTAATCATATCTAATGTTTTTTTCATCATGCTTATACGATATTGATTGATAATTGGTATATAGTTTTATCACGACAAGTTACAGATCAAGTTCAAATTTTTGTTTCGGTCTAATAATTTTGTGCAGAGTTATGGTCCTTGGACTTGAAAAATTCACTCATATAATCAGTTTTCCACACTGTTTTAAGTCATGCTCGAAGATATTGACATGATATTTACTTTTTGTTTACACCATGGCAAGTTATATAACAAGTTAGCATTTTGTTCCAGTATAATGAATTTTTACCCGGTAGGGGACTATGTATTGCCATGCAATACTCTCAGAATGCTTGTTACTACATAATATAGATTAAGTACGAAATTTGGTGGCGACACTTTTACCATTCTTGAGATATGTCCCTTTATAAACAAAAATTGCTGAATTTTTTAGTTTGTCTCAACCAAATGTTATAAAACTTATACACAACCGTTCTAGAGTTATGCGTGTTAACAAATAGAAAAATTGCTGAATTTTTAGTTTCTGTTCTCTACTTAAGTTAGCCTCAACCAAATGTTATGAAACTTACACACAATGCTTATTACCACAAAACTCAAGAAGTTCAAATATGGGTAGCGTCACTTTTACCGTTCTTCAGTTATGTCCCTTTATAACTATATGATATGCAAGCGGGGGCATCATCTGTGTCCACATATGGACACTATCCACATTTATTCCCTTTTCATTCCTTATGAAAAACTACTTATTTCTTCTACTTTAAGTATACAATATACCATCAAGCAGGCTGATGATTAAATACTATTCATGCATGCATGTCCTTTTAACAAAAAATAATCAACATAGTAAAAATAAGGAAATTCAGTGCCATATTGTACAATTGTTTGATAGAGTGCAGATGAACGAATTAAGTGGTTAAACATTATGTACAAAAAATTTGATATTTAAATGAGAGTATAGAGAACAGCAGAAGTGAGCTGTTCTCTACAGCTGTCTACTGACGGAGACTGAACTATTGAAATAGGTAATGTGTTCCATTGTAGTATTTTACGCGGAAAGAATGAGTGCCTGTATGTATTTTTAGGTGTATATATGTGTCTAAAATTGAGTAGGGGAATTTTCTGGTTCTTGGATCTGCAAGATCTGATGTGTCTGATGGAATTGCGACTAGATGATGAGAGATCTTATACATCATGACAAGTCTAGTGCGCAGTCTACGGACTGATAATGTTGGCCAATTAAGTGCGTTCAGCATGTCCGATACACTACTTGTATAGGTACCTATTACAGACATATCGAGCAGCTCGCCTTTGGACAATTTCAATCTTTGATATTGATTCTGTTGTGTGTGGGTCCCAGACTGAGCAAGAGTACCCAAGTTTAGGGCAAATAAATACTTGGTATGCCTGACTCTTGATCTGATGGTTTGATGCTTTGAGATTACGTTTTAGGAAGCTAATAGTTTTGTTACTTTTAGATATTATATCAGTTATGTGTTTGTCCCAAGATTTGATTAGAGTATATTACCAAGCTATTAAGCAGATGACACTTATTCTAATGTAAGATTGTGAAGGATATAATTATGTTTAATAGGTTGTTTGTTCTGCGTAACAGAAGGGACTGCATTTATTGGAATGAAAAGCCATCAACCAATCCTGTTCCCACGTTGCTGCTGCATCAAGATCAGCCTGAAGTTTGTTCGAGACACTTTGGGATCGGCCTGTAAATAATACTGTCGTCTGCAAATAATCTAGTTTGCTATGATTTAGGTAGTCAGGAAGGTCATTTATGTAGACCAAAATAAGACTTGGCCTCAGACAGTACATTGAGGCACCCCTGAAGGTGTTTAATGACCTGTCATCCATGACAACAGTTTGAGAGCGGTTTGAAAGGAATGCAGAGATCCAATTTAGTGTAATTCCAGAAATGCCATAATAATTTAATTTGTATAAAAGTCTTTGATGTGGTACCTCATCGAATGCTTTAGCAAAGTCAATTATAATTGGATCAGTTTGAGTGTTGTTGTTGTTTGCAGCTGATAGGTCTTGAATGTCTAAATACATGTTGGAGATCGTACAGGATGCTATTATTCTCAAGGTGGTTAATGATGTGTTTTGTGACAATATGTTCCATTAGCTTGATGCAAGTCAATGAAATTGGCTTATAGTTGACAGCTTTATGTTTGTCACATTATTTGAAGACTGGTGCAACTTAAGCATGCTTCCAATTTTGTGTAGTTGCGAGTGAGATTTGAAATATGACTGTTAGAACTGGTGCTATATGTTCTTGCATTTCATTTAAGATATAGCCACTGATATTGTCTCGGCCGATGACTTTTTGAGGGTTGATATTTTTAAGGAGTTTTGTTATGCCAGGTGTTGAGATATTTATTCCTGTAATATTTGGATGAGAGCTTACCCCTTTATCTGGAATAGGATCATTAGTTTTTGTTCTGATATAAAGACTGACTGAAGTTCGTTAAGTATGTAAGCGTTTTCAGCAGTATCTGTAGTGAGAATTCCGTCTTTTTTGAGAGCAGCTATTCCTGATTTGTCTGTCCTGATGTATTTAATGTACTGGAAGAGTTTCTTTGGTTTATCTTGATTGATTGATGGAGTATCTGGTTCATTTATGGGTAAGTCGCACATTAATTTCTCGATGTAGTTAAAGTATGCCACTCTCTGTTCTTTTTGTACTTATCACAGTGATTGTTATCTTTTCTTTTTTCATACAGTTTATTAGTCCCCTACTGACGAAGTCGAAGGGTTAAGTTTGCACTATGTCCGTCTTTCTGTCTGTATGTCTGTCTGTCCATCCGTCAGTCCGGCAAATTAGTTTTCCACACTTTGTTTCTTCGATTTGATATTTGGTATATTGTTTTATCATGACAAGTTACAGATCAAGTTCGAATTTTGTTCCGGTCTGATAATTTTGTGCAGAGTTATGGTCCTTGGGCTTAGAAAATCCAATCAAATAATCAGTTTTCCACACTTTTTTTGTCATACTTGAAGATATTGATTTGATAATTGGTATATAGTTTTATCATGTCAAGTTACAGACCAAGTTCGAATTTTGTTCCGGTCTGATGATTTTGTGCAGAGTTATGGTCCTTGGACTTAGAAAATTCACTTAAATAATCAGTTCCCACACTTTTTGTCATCATTCTTGAGGTTTCAATTCTGTAAATATAGACAATGCAATTTCCCATAGGAACTCCCTTTTACTTTTACTAGGAAGTTTCGTGAAAAATAATATCCAAGAACGGAAAGTTGATATGCACTACTATTTTATTCAAAGGTCAAAATATAGGGCTGTGCGGCATATTTTCAACATTTATATGCCCAGAACTTCTAAGAGTTTAAACTTATACTAACATTATATACTACACCTACCTCCACTTTTGACCTCCTTAGAATTAAATTTTAGGCGCTACTATTTTTTTCTACACTGGTAACATTCTCAAGTTCTGTCTCTATGAGATGAAATACAGAGATCATATCTGGGAACCAGTACGTTAACAAATTAACATATCTATGAATATTATATATCTCCCCAAAAGAGGCGTGGCTTGTGAAACAGCTGTATTTACAAAGTGCAACCTTGAAGATATTGACTTGATATTTGTTATATAGTCTACACCATGACAAGTTATAGATCAAGTTACCATGTTGTTCCAGTACAATTAATTTTTTACCGGTAGGGGACTATGTATTGCCATGCAATACTCTCAGAATGCTTGTTTTTCTTGTTAATGATTCTTCTGAGTGTTTCATTTATCCATGATAATCTATTTTTGTATGATAGCAATTTTGATGGTATGTTTGATTCCACTGGTTCAATGAATTTTGTTTTGAATAGTTCTCAAAAGTTGTTAATATTTGTGGTTGGATACATTTTGAACAGTTAACTTGTGTGTGTGTTGTTTCAATGTCTAATTTGATGGATTCCCAGTTTGTCTTGTTGTACTTGTACACTTAAAGTGGTGTTTCTCTTATTCTTTTAAGCCAGATGTCTGCTTCGGCATAGACAACATCATGGTCACTTAGCCCAATAAATGGTAGAGTTGTTACCTTATTTATGAAAGTTTGATTGTTGATAAAGATAAGGACAAGTATTCGTTCTTTTCTTGTTAGAATGTTGACAATTTGGTGTAGGTTTGATTCATTTATACTGTCTCGAAGCATTTAATGTTGATGCTGATTAGGTTTCCGAAGTGTAATTGAAGTGTTTTGCCAATCTTTTTGTCTGGATTGAAGTTTCCGTCTATAATGATTGTAGATTTTGATTGTTGGATAATTCGGTTTTTAGAAACTGTTGGAATTGTTCTAGTGCTAAACCGGTGTCAGATGGAGGTCTATAAAATAAGGATATTATGATGCTTATTGAGCCTGTAATATAAATTTCTGCCCAGACTATTTCATATTCTGTTTGTAGTTCTTTTATTTATGAACTGATGAACTCTTTTGTTATAGCAATGTGGACCCCACCATGACTGGTCATTACTGGTGGTCTGTCATGTCTAGACACTCTATATAACTATATAACTCTGATGGAAAGTGATCATAAGATAATATATTTGTATCAAGCCAGGTTTAAGTGCCAATAATGATGTCAGGTTTATCAGTCATATCTAGCAACTCAAGCTTTTTATTTTTTATTTAATTGAAAGTTGATGTTCAAGATTTTAATATTTCTTTTATCATTATATTTGTTATATTTTTTATTTATTGTTACGTTAGCTGATGCTTTTTTTAGGAATTGGCGAGGATGCTGCTTTTGGTGCACCTGGACTGCCTATAAGACTAAAATTGGTTTGTGAGTTTAGACTTTCGTAAGTATTTGATATTTCAATGGTGGATGTATTAAAGAAGCTAGTAGAAATGTTTGGCATGCCACATTGCAAACAATGCCAACTTACGTTACTGTTGTTCATGACAGCATATATATGATTTGGTATGCCTTGACTGTCTATATCAAACAATGTTTCGAATGTGTCACAGCAGACTGCTTTATGCTTCCATGTGATTGCTTTTTTTCATTGACCACAAGGCCATCCTGGTGTTCTAGGACCTGAGTTTGTTTCTGTGTCAAATGAATTTGCTAGTAGTATTAGAAACAGGTATTTGTGAGCTGATCGTGCAGGTGTTGAACTAAGCTTTAGTATGGATTGAACACTTTTTATGTGCTGGTTTATTTTGTTTTATGTATCCGTTTTTATTCTGTAGTTAGTCACCACTTCGGTGTTATCATGTATATCTATTATATAGTCATTTTTATAAATTTACTGTTTGCAAAAGTATGAATTATTCTAAAAAATAAGGATGTTCTTATCCCAGACAGAAAACCTTAGCCGTATTAGGCACAACTTTTTGGAACTTTTGGTCCTCAATGCTCTTCAACTTTGTACTTGTTTTGGCTTTCGAACTTTTTTGATCTGAGCGTCATTGGTTAGTCTTGTTTGGACGAAACGCGCGTCTTGCGTATTAAATTTTAAATCTGGTACCTTTTGTTAGCTATTATTCGTATGTTTCTCTGTCCTATATGTTCTCCCATTTATTTGTATTGTAGTCCTGTCATGTAATGTTGTCATTTTAATGTTATATTTAACATTGCCATAAAAGCGGGAGGTTTGGCTAGCCACAAAACCAGGTTCAACCCACCTGTACCAAGTCAGGAAAATGGCCATTGTTATATTATAGTTCGTTTCTGTGTGTGTGACATTTTTATGTTGTGTTTCTGTTGCGTCGTAGTTCTCCTCTTATATTTGATGTGTTTCCCTCAGTTTTAGTTTGTAACCCGGATTTGTTTTTTTCTCAATCGATTTATGAATTTCGAACAGCGGTATACTACTGTTGCCTTTATTTAGGGTTAATGTAGGGTTGATACTGTTACCTTTCCGTAACAGAATAACTATAATGGGAAAATTGATCTGATGGAACTTGTAAAAGTGTGTCATTTTGTTTTACTCTGTCTGTGCTGTAGCATAGTGACAGCTTTGTGATGTTGCAAATTGTTTAGCAAGATAGAATTTAAAACTATTCTATATGTACACATAATTATTAAAGTAATTGCACTTACTTGTTCTGTTGTTAATTTTAATGCAGTCATAGGAACCGAACGTGAAATCTCAAGTGTGCTCAAGTGTCCTCGAATAAGAATGGTGGAAAGAGGGTTTATCAGATATTAGTTGAATATACAACAGTTAATCTTCGTCTCCTGGGCAACTCAGGAACACGGTTAATTATAGAAGCCTCATTAGTAAATAAAGGCAACAGTAATATACCTCTGTTCAATAGTCATAAATTTATTAAGCGAAAACAAATCCGGGTTACAAACTAAAACCGATGGAAACACATCAACTATAAGAGGAAAACAACGGAACAACAGAAACACTGAACTGCAACAAAAACAAATACCGACATACATAGAAACGGACTTTTTGATAACAACTGCCATATTCCTGACTAGTTCAGGATATTTTAAGAAAAAATGGTGGGTTGAACCTGGTTTTATGGCTAGCTAAACCTCCCGCTTATATGACAATATTAAAAATATCCGCTAAAATGACAACATTATGTGACATGAGTACAGTACAAAGCAGATAGTCAAGTTGTAAAGGCAGATTTGTTTACTTCCCGTGTACGATGGTTTTTTTTTGGCGGTTGTCAATTATTCATTCATTCAGTGAAAATGTTTTCGGTTTTTGTAATGTAAAATGTTTTAACTAGAATTTTAGTTAAGCACAGGATTTAATTTATAATATAAAGTTTTTAAAATAAATTTGGATGATAACAGGAGCTCGAGTTGATGTAGAAATAACTTTCTTCAGAGCCGGAGGAGGAACGTATTTTCAGGTCCACGCATGCGCCCTTGATCAGATTGGTGATATATTTCTAAAGTCGAATGGGTCAAAGGTTTCTTTTATAGAAATTCGAATGGTTCAGAAATGGCTACAATGTGGTAAAACTGAGGTCAAAGATCAACTTCTACAAATCTGTGAAAATTTCAATTTTGAATATTGTACCTTTTCTGAGTTCTGTCTTGTTACAAATTGATACTTGTTAGAAAACAATTCCTCAAAAACAAAACTACAAATTTCCTGTTTTCAACCCATATTTGGCCAAAAGGGACAGTATTTGGATTTTAAATTTTTTTCATTCGGCGTCACTGATGAGTCTTTAATTTTTAGACAAAATGAGCGTCTGGCGTACACCATTATAAGCCTGGTATCTTTGATGAGTTTCTTTTATTGACTTATTTGGCTCATTGGCAATCAACTATTCCGTGTATTTTTAAAGTGTTTTCTTATCATTGTGCTTTTCAAAGTTTCTGTCTTTATTATAGTTTTCAAGATATAGACTAAAACACTAAATTGTTCAGGGCAATAACTCCTCTCTTATATTCAAGTAATTATACATTCTTAATCAGCTAGAACAGATTTCCAAATTAATAGAATATTTATAACTTGAAGTTAGAGGAAAATGCTAGCTTCTTTTTTTTCTTCCCAAAGAATCTCCAGTATAAAGCCTGCCTCATGAATAAAGGAACAAGTCGGCAAGAAGAGGAGCACAGTTGGTTCTCATGGGAATGCCGATTGTTTGTTGAAAACCACTTCCTCCAAACGAAGTTGTGCATCTGCTATTATGGAATTGTTTCCGGATTATTTTCATTTTCTGGACTTTGGAACTTAGTCTTTTTTAGAGCAAAACATGATATAATCTCTTAACATAAGAAGTAATGATTAAAATGACTCTTTACACAAAGATTACTTGCTCTGTACTGCTCAGATGTCATACAGGGCAATTTGGTGTCGCATCGGATAAGACGAGCATCAATTGCCGTGGATTTTAATTCTAATTTGGCAAGATTACAACTGTCTTTATTTAACTAAAAATATTGTATTTACTAGAAGGGAAAGGGAGCATCCACCTGTATTTTTTTGGATAAATGGTGAAGAGGTTGAGAAAATAAATATTCACTGTCATCTTGGGATAACATTTCAGTCATCAGCTTCATGGAACACACATATTGATATTATTTATAAAAAAGCATGCTCTCGTCTATCTGTGCTTCGTCAAGTTAAACATTTATTAGATAGGAGTTCACTTATACGTATTTATTATGCTTTTATTAGACCTATATTAGAGTATGGTGACGTTGTTTGGGACAATTGCTCCCAGCACGAGTCTGAGCTTCTTGAAAATATCCAAATAGAAGCTGCTAGAATTATTACAGGATTACGACGTAATTCCTCAAGACAAAAACTTTATATTGAATTAGTTTTAGAAACTCTGGAGAATAGACGTAATAAACATAAGCTTATACTATTCTATAAAATATTAAATGGGATGACACCTGCATACTTATATGAGTTAGTCCAGCCATATCTTCCCAGGCAGACCCCTTATACTTTGAGGAATGAAAATAACACTTTTCACCCGCCTCTTGCTAGAACTAGCTCTTATTTTAATAGTTTCATTCCTTCCACTATAATACTTGGAATAGTCTTCCTTTGAGTTTACAAAAATCCCCAAATTTGGGTATATTTAGAAGTGGACTGGACAAGTTTTATAGGACTGATGATATATTTAAACCTTTCAACTATGGGATAAGGAAACTTAATATAAGTCATTGTCAACTCAGAAATAATGCTAGCAACCTAAAATCTCATTTGTTTAATCAGTTCTTATCCGAGAACACTTTTTGTGCAAACTGTAATCACCCTGTTGAGGATAACCAACATTTCTTTTTTATTTGCTCTAAGTACAATGATGTAAGACAGATCCTACTTGATTCCATTTACTCCATTGCTGATAATGTTGACATAAATATTGAATTATTACTTTTTGGAAACAGATTATTTTCATATGATTTGAATATTGCTATTTTTAAATCTGTTCAAAAATATATCAGTGACACTCAACGTTTTGTTTGAAATTTACTCAATTTTTGTTTTATTTAGTTTTATTTTTTATTTTTTTTCTCCTCCACTTCAACATTAATTCATTTATTCCACTAAGTAAGCTGAGTGTCTCTTTCAAGCCATACATATATATTTCTTATGACTTATAAAGGATATTTGCATGTTTCAAGGTACTTGAATAAATGATGAGTAATTGCCTATATACTTAAATATACTTTACATTTAGTAAGTAACACTGTAAACATATATTTGCTCGTGTGTGCTCATAAGTAGCATGCATGTTCCACTATATTACATTATTTTAAATACAGTTGTTATAAATGAATTATACCTTGTACATGTAATATGGAGAGAGGTTTTATAGGCTGTGCCTGTTGCTCAATCCTTTTCATATCTTAATGAATAAAATATGTTTAAAATCAAGTCTTTATTTAAAACGTTCAGGTACAAACCTAAAATATTTACAAGAACGATAATTATACGATGGTCAACAAAACTTTATTTGGATTACTATGATGTATTTTGGGATTGTTTTTATGATGCGCCTATGCTTGAAAATATGTGCAAATAAATGAAAAATTTAGTTATCGAATTCAGTTTTTTAAAGATATTACGGAGAGTCACTGAAGGCACAGATATTGTTAAAATCTTGCTCAATCTATTTAAAAAAAAATATTATATATAAAACGCATCAACAGTTTGTTCTTAGAAGAAGAAAAAAATAATTTCCAATTTGCAGGGACAATTAAATGTTTATGTAGAGTTCTGCATATAGCTCGTTTTCAACATGAATGAAGGTGCCGACTGGTCATCTATCCTTTCTTACATTTTATGTCAACTGAAGCATGTAATTATTTCCTTGAACGCAAACATAAAAGTCATCACTTAATATTAATATATTATTTTAA